TGCAGCTCTCACATCTATTGAAAAATCAAAAGAAACTTGTTAAAGCATTTATCATCTACTGTGGACAAATATCCACTTCAGTTAGCATGAGTTAACATTCATCAGACTCAGAAAAAGCTGGAATAGTGATGTTCATTGCTGTGGTTTTAGGGAGGAGAATCTGCATTATTTAGTCCTTGGTGATTATGAAACTCTGACCATTTTAATATGATGTAAAAGGATTTACAAACTCAGACAGGGAGGGAGATAAAGTATTTCTTCAACTGAAATGAAATTACGACATTTACCAGAATTTTGGAAAGAGATTGTGTCGCTGTTCTCTCAAATTATTCTGACTGCATGCAATGTTAAATATTGTTAACATCAAAGTTATTATCATTAATGAAAACCAAAGAAATACTGGAAACTCACTGTGGAGGCTCGTTTATCTGTAGTGGATGTTTTTAGTTGTTCCTCCTTAAAACTTTTGTAGTTAATTAATTAATTATATGATATACTTTTTCCGGCCCTTTTGGCTCTCGACCCTGACATGTATCCCATATTAAATTTTTTTTATTGACATTGAAAACAAAAAGTCAAAATGAAATAAAAATTCAAAACAAATGAAAGATCTTGGTTCACATACTGCTGCAATGATTTCCCAATTTCATGTGATTTAAAACCAAATTCTACCACTTTTTTAAAGTCACTGCACAATTGAAAATCACTACTACTACTACTAGGCTATGTTGAAAATATCTGCACTGCTCAATTGCACCTTCACTTTCAATGCAAACATAGAACAGAAAGTGATAAGGCTCCTCAATACAAAGGGAAAAATGCTCATAATATCAACCAATACACAAAATCTTTTAAAATCGAATCAAAAACCCTTTAGCATGATATTGTATCTGTCATATCTACCAAACAGATAAAAAAAAATAATCTGCTTCTCCTCTCCCCTGCCACCACTCCTCCTTCCTTCATAACTGGATAAATGGTTCGTCTGAAATCTCTTTAGTTCATGAGGTAGTAGATCGTACTGGTACTGGTGAGCCTCCTGAAAACATTTACCAAGGAAGCATACAATGATGATGCTCATAAGGTAGCTACAAAAACAGGAAATAGTTGTGAGAAAAAAAGATTGTGAAGCATCTTTTCATTACTTAAAGGTCCCATGTTATGCTTTTTCTGGTTTTATATGGTCTTTAGTGTGTTTTCCAAGTGTCCTGTGCATGTTTAGGCACATCTATGTGCAAAAATTCAAAGTCCGCAGAAACGCGGCTTCTCCTACGTCCTCCTGCTGCTGCAGCATTAGCTGCATGTACCGTTCGGTTCTAGCCCCCCTCGAAAAAAAATTGTCAGTGTGACGTCTTGTCAGTGTGAGATCACTGATCTAAGCCCATTGGCTCGTTGTGGCAAGCCCAGCAGCTCATGTTGTATGCCCGTTAACTTCTGTGGCACACCCACGATATGCCGTAGCCTGCGGTAGCACAGTAGTGCTAAGGTGCTAATGTTTTTGCTCCCCGGCCCTCGGAGCCAGAGTGGCTGAGCAACTGACCAATTACGGCAGAGCCGACAGGCCGACCAATCAGATCAGACTTGGACTCTGAACGTGGGCACTTCAGAGCCTTAGAGAGAGAGTCAGAAGCGAGCCGGTGCATGGAGCGGCAGTTCATGAAAACAGACACTTTTTTCAAACTTTAGCTATTGTGAACGTACTTTAGTAGGTACATAGATTAAATATACGAACCCCAAAAAGGGCATAATATGACCTCTTTAAGTGTCTTTAGATTTCAGTCATTCTGTGTCAATTTGTGTGTAAACTGACTACCAGACAACATGAAGCTACCAAAGTGTGTTTAGCCTGCTAACACAACAATGCAGGAAACAGGAAATTGCAGCTCGAGCAAAGGACGATTTTGTCCCCAGCTTGCGCTTAATGGTGCTTAATTATAGTGCGTTCTAATTGATCACTCCTTCATGTGAATTGGAGTGAAGAGAGGTTGGAGGTGTGTCGCTGCAGGAGAGCGGAGGCTTCAGAATAGCGGAGGTGTCCCCAAACAGCAGTTTGTTTTGGTTTCATGCTGGTGCTCAAGGGCGACATCTACTGGATCAGAGAATCGCACATTCTTCCTGTAAGCATGCGAAAACAAAGTTAGAGTTTAAAATTAATTTAATCAGTCAACTGTGAGGAAACAAAAGAGACAGTGAGAGATTCATACAACTCTGTTTTTCCCTCACAGTGAAGGACACCGTTTAAATGGTTTGCAGTTAGCAGGTACTGGTTTAATTCTGTTGTTGGTAATCACTGAGCAGCGTTTCACAAAGTGATCTAGAAAAGTAAACATGTGTGTAACACGATTATTCCCCTTGATTAGAGAGTACAACTAAAGTAAGACCCAATTTGAGTGAATCTGAGTGATGTGAGTGTCATCATTTGCTTCATGTGTGTTCAGCCGTGTGAAATGTTTTTATGATTTTTCCTTATTATCCTTTGTTACCACTGGTTTCTTTTGTCAAAATATTGTGAATGTCCTGAATTCTAATAGAAAAAACAAGTTCTATTAGTCACACCAAAGAAAATACAGAAACCGATTTCCTGAGCATCTTGTCACCTACAGTATTCAGCCAGAGAAGCGTTTGTGACACACCCAATGTTTACGTCTCCATGGAGTTTCATGTTTGGGTGTATTCTATAATTCATTGAGCACACGCCTTTGTCCAAAGCAACCAACATCAACAGCTGTTGTTGAGAGTCCAAATAAGCATCAAAACCATCCTAAATATCATCATCATCATTATCAATATTATGATCAATATCATCAACATCAATACCATTAAATCCGTAGATGTTCATGACAGAGCTGCGTGCATTTTCTTTTAGGTGCAAAGGTGTGAGAGTGTAGGGAAGAAGAAGGAGACAAAGGCACGGATGTCTCCTCCCAAGATCTGACTGGGCAGGATTTATTTCCACCAGCTTCTGACATGCTGACAAAACCTGATACGGCAAAATCACAACATGACCGGCAACACGTTCAAAAGGTGCCACTCCTTTCAAGTTCTAGGATAATTATGCCCCCACAGGTTTGAGGGATGCTTGATACCTGGGAAAGGCCAATTTAAAGTGCTGTAATATGTCAAATTTGTTTCAAATAGAACCCACAATTATAAGCAGCAAAGTGGCACGTACAACTCCTTGATACTCTTTATTGTTTGCAATGATTTTTACATGGTTTCTCTTAGTAAACAATGTTGTTATTACCCCATGAGGAACCTCAAAAAGCTATCATATTGGTAACAACTGGATAAGTGTTATGCCTTCCTCAAGACGACCTTTCTTCAAAATATATTTATCTTAAATCAACATTTACATGATTTCCTTTTATAATCAGTGTCTGTATCAAATTTCATTGCATTATCCAATAGCTTCTGTAATAAAAAGCCTACGGCAAACTAATGATGTCCCCAGATGAGAAGACATGGGATGTGCATGATTTCCATGTAGTTGTAAAACAGTTAAAGTCAAACTGCCACATGATTTCACTGGCTGTGTTTGTGCCGAAGTTGCAACTGGAGAATTTGGTGACACTTTACTCCCACTCTTGGAACACTCTGACAGAAAGCAGATTCTCACTGATATCTGCCAGAATAAAGATTGGCCAAAACGGGAACTTCCAGCGAAAACTCTTCGCAGGCAACCCTTCCCACACTCCACAGGACTTGGAGTCTGTTCAGCAGGAAACAAAGGCAAACAGTGAGGAGGAGCGGCTGTGTGGTGCAACTGCAGATCGATCCCAGATAGGGCTCTTTCAACCTGACAGACAGCAAGTCCAAACTAGATGTAGAGGTTCTTATGAAAGATTCTTCTTGAACTCCTTTGAACAAAAACAAAAAAACACACTTACATATCACTGATGTAGAGTGCATCCACAACAGCAAGTTTAAACATAGGGTTTCCTATCTTTCCTATCAATAGAGGCATCATATTTAGGCAGAATTTACTTAAGAAAACATTTTAGATGCTGCACTGCAAAATTGACAGCCACTGACTAGCCTAATTTGAATTAAATGAATCCACTAGGCTATGATCATATTATTGAAAAGAGATGCAGTGTTTTGATTTGATGTTGCCTGACAGGGGAAATCTTTTTCAAAATGAAGCTGATGGTATATTAATGCATTTTTCTTCACCAAATTTTAAGTAAGGGACTGACAGAGGGTGATGTTAAAACACTCAGACACAGCGGAGTCTCAAAGATTAAGACGATAATAATCTTCCTAAAGTGTTCAGACATCTATACTCAATTGACACCGCTTGCAATTGATTTCATTTGGATAGTTATCGTTGTTTTGACGTGAACAAATTAAAGGCTTTAAAAGTTACTCGTCATTTTAAAGTAGGCTGATGTGTAAAATGTGTGAAATAAATATTGATTAATCAAAGAGAGAGAAAAAAGGAAGTGAGAGATGACCTAACTGTGAAATATAGCTTAACCATAAGAGAACAAAGAAAAAGACAAATAGAGATTACATTTTTTTTTCAATCAATTCCAAAATGAACTGTATGTATAAAAATAAAAAGCATACTTTTCAGAAAAGGATTATAAATAGTATGCAGAAAAATAAAACTTAAATTCTCTAAAATACGATGAATTATTGAATCAACTTGGGCCTATAAAGTATGTATAGTATAAAGCCACAAAAAGCTCCACTTCAATCAACCATCTCTTAATTTATTGATATAGTCATTTAATAACCTTGACTAGGACCATTATGCATTTGAGTGCTGCACTTTCAATAGTTTCTGTAGATGCTGATGTCAATACTTTTAAATAAAGTTTATTTTTTACAGTACACGTGTTACATTATTACACGGTGTTTCGGTTTGATTCAGTAGCCTTCGTGTTCTGTGAAGTCGAGAATGACCTGACAACCAGACGACGATAATTTATCAGCAAAATTACCATCAAAAGTTTGCGAAAGAAAGAAACATCAAATCCTGTTTGCACGTCGCGCGTTGGTGACGCAGGAGAGAAGCGCGCCGTACGTTGATGACGCAGGAGAGAAGCGGCAGTAAAGGCTCTTTGACGTCTTAACAGTTTTTAATTCAACCAAAGACGGATTTCACAACATACGCAAGGTAAGTCGTCGTGCTCTGTGTTTATTTCTGTAATTAGTGAGGGAAAGTGTTGCATTTATTTGCCGTAAGTTTGCGATAGATAAGTTGCTCTTGCTGCTCCATGTAAAACACAGCTGTTGTAGATGAGTCAATGTAACCTGCACAGACAGGACTACACCTGTAGTTTAATAACGTAACATGCAACCTTTTAATGCCAAAAAAACACCGAGGCAAGTGTATCATTTATGAGCGCAGATTACTCATTCAATACGTTACATTTAACACACTTTTGGTGACTGCTCCACCACTGTGTAACTTCAGCAGGCTAAAGAAAGGTGCCTTTGTCTCACACATCCATCTGTGCAGCCAGTTTCAGCAACAAGGCAATTCAAAGAGTTTCACACAAGATGTTAGAAGCATCATAACAAAGAGAAAATGAGACATTAAAAAGAAGAGGGCATTGCAAAGTTCATACAACAAACAAACAATTTAAGAATTAACGTGACAAAAGCTAAAAACTATTAATACAGAAGTAAAAGATAAACGTCACAAATCAAAAGCTAAATAATTATTAAACTGTTTCAAAGTATAGGGTTGCAGTTACAGTGCAGTGTCAGAGTTAAAATGGCTGTTTAGATTGGGAATAAAATGGGCCTAAATTATTTTAATAAAAGGCAGCTGTCAACATGTGAAGAGGGAGTTTCAGCAGTCTTGCACTTTTCTGAGAGTTTGTTCCTGATGAGCATCATTTTTAATGTTTTAGTTCTGACTCTGGGGACAGAAAGCAGAGCTGTCCCAGACGGCCTGAGTGGTCCAGTCGGTTCATAAAGTAACAAAAGGTCAGAAATACACCATTCAGTGCTTTATAGACCAAGAGAGGTATTTTAAAAAAATGTAGTCATTTGAGAGACACGGAGCGAGTGTAAAGACTTCAGACGTGGAGTGATGTATTCTGTATCCTGTTAAAAGGTTTGATGCTTTGATGTGCACTTTATTTCAAGTGCAATTCAGCTGCCAGGCACACAGCTTGAAACAGAGACACCCTAAAGCTGCTCCTTTTGTCAAATCAAAAGCTCAAACTTCATGACTTTTCATTTACTTAATGGCAAAAAAAAAACAATAGAAAATCTCTTTATTTAAGACACTTGGACCAGTGAATTTTGGACACTTCTTCATGAAATAAAACTAAAACTATTTCCTGTATTAATTTAATCAAATAATCAATTCTTTTTTTTTTTTTTTTAAATCAACGTATTGATTTATTAAAGTAAACACAAACTGTGTCAAATTGACACATTGAGCCGTTTAGCTAAGGGTACAAGCTATTAGTTACTAAGATGTTACATCATTTTTGAGCTGTGGGAACTCATTACTTACAGACCTGGACTAACGCCTCCTCCTCCTCAGCTTTATTTCTAAAGCTCCTTTCATACATAAACACAAGCAGCCCGAAGTGCTTCACAAAAGAACAGAAATTGAAAGAAAGAGATTCAAAGAATAAGGGAAAGTAATAGCCTACAATAATAAAAAAGGATAACGTTTATTTAAAAACATATCAATTTAATAAAATAATAAACACATTTATAAAGTCTATCAAACAGGAAACATGTCAGTAAATTAATAACACAATAAAAAGTGGACTAAGACAAAAGAAATGTAGAAACAATGATGAAGGAAAAAAGTGAAAATCCCTCCTAATTAAAAGGCAGATAAGGTCTCCAGTTTACGTTTAAAAACACACACACAGATTTCTGTTCTGATGTCAAAGGGTAGTTAATTCCACAATTTAGGGTCATAAAAACAGAAAGCTCTGTCCCCAGTGCTTGTGTGGTTCACATGAGGGATGTTTAAAAGATCCTCATATGACATGAACACAACATCCAGCCTGTTCTTCCTCTGTTACAAACACAAGCTACACAGGTGTCATTTAGTACAACCCATTTCTTTAATAGTATGATATCATTAGTTACTAATCTTTAAGAAACATTCATTATCGCCTTTTTGGTTGAACCAGAAAAAAAAGCACTTTTGAATGTGAATGTTTATGTTTGTCTAATGTACCATAATGAATTCATTGCCAAAAGACGGAGGTTAACATATATTAGGACACATCTTTTACAGTTACTCACCCTATGCATTAATCACATGCAGTGTTTGTGTCTAATCACAGAAGCTAGGTCGACTATTAAAGTTTGTCATATCGATTTTTTTTCAAATTATTCCTAACATCAGTCCTGTAGCAGAAGATTTGACTGACAGGCATCTGACTCAAAGTAAGAAAAAAGAAAGTACTCCTCAGCCCGGCCCTGTGTGTGCATTTATCTTCCATTAGTTGACATTTCAGCCCTCAGGCCCTTTTCAAGATCAACAAACATGACAGGCACACAACCTGAATCCCAGGGCAGCTGGATGAAATGAAATGACCCCACGTGGTCTTTAGTTTGAATCATAAATAGCACCGCTCTCCAGCCTCGAGGATTTTTGTACCTGATTGTTAGACCGAGTGGCATGTTAAGTATTTTTGGAGCAGCGTCAACACACTAATCACAAAGAAAAACAAAATTGTACCATATAGGCTTTTCACACTTCCAGAAGACTCCTGATACTTGCAGGAGGAGCTGCATGTGTGAACGCAAACACAGCCACATTTTTCAATCTTATTTTACCCAGAGTTTCTCCTGCCAGAACCCTAGTATTTGTGCATGTTTAATCTGCTGCATTATGTTTTCTGTTCACCAGTATGTTCTTCTCCACTCCTTTGTTGATATAGTGATTCTGTCGAACTTCACGTAGCTTTGATATAAAGGCAAATATTCTAATTATAGTGTTGAATACATGTAGTGGACTCGGTTGCTTCATCAGCCCTAGTGATAGTCTCCCACTGTGAGATGTGAACAGCCAGGTCAGGAGAATATCCGGAGCAGTCCTCCTGAAAGTATCTCGATATTTTCAAGAGTGCATATGTGAAAACAGCTAGAGTGTGCAAATGAATTAAGCAATAGATGATACATTTCATCAACTTCCGCTTATGTTCACCTCTGTAAGCCTAAAATTACTTAGAAAGATTAAGACTTGTATTTATCTTTGCATTATTAAGACCACTTGTATTGTACACATGGCAGAGACTGGCTCTATATTGTGATGTGAGGACTGTAAACTAAACCAAACACTTACTACCAATAGGATACACTACGTTTGCAGTAAGTGACATGTTTATTGAAAAAAGTGAAGTATTTTATCTAATCACGGAGACCAATTGCACCATGTAAGAAAACATTTAATCAACCAGTAAAAAGAAAGCTTGGATGTTTTTTTTCTTCCCCATTCTGTACCCAGACTCTAGCTGTTGGTTCCATTTAATCCCCACAGCTTGCAATAAGAGAGTCTCTCAAGGAAATGAAATGAGTGAGTGATTGTAGTCTTTTGTTGCTGTAGAAATTTGCATACTCATCCTTAGACGACACATTATTGCTCAATTAAGAATGCGTGCTGACATGCCAAGTGTTCCCAGAGCTTCAAGTTTTAGCAGGAAACAAAGTTCAGTTGTTTAAAACAGGACGTCAAATATCCTCAAGAAGCCATGAACACAAAGTAAAGAGTGGTTTCTCTTATGCTATGGACTGTTGGTCTTTGTGTCTCTTATCTCACTTACATCCATCATGATGATATCCATGGTAGTTGTGTTTTTTATGTATGTTTTATGTCTTTGAGCTGTTTTTGTGATTGCCTGTAAGGACCTCTGTTGCAAACCAAATTGCTCCTCTGGGACAATAAAGATTTTCCAATACAATCCAAAAATTACTTTGGAAAATTGTATCAAATGATTATTATTCACCCACTAACCTGCAACACTAAAATATCAACAAAGTGGTGAATACTGCCAGTGACTACTTTTTCAACTTCTCTTATAGCTTGATGTGTTTGACAAGTATTTCTAAAAGCTTCAAATATTCAAAACAGTATGGGCATATCAATTCCTAATAAATAAACAATAGTAAATTACAACTTTTATAGCTTTGTGCATCTTTTTTTTAATAATTAGTGTGAAACATATTTGAAAAATGTTTCATCACTGCTTCTAGATCACAGCAGAAAATCTTTAACTTTATATCTTTATCTTTTGCAAACAAGTAACTGGTCATAAGGACAGTAAGGTTTTGTTTAAGTCATTTTCTAATACTTCGCTGTACACTGTTTAAAGAAAAGTGACAGTTGACTAAGTAGTAATGTTTGTAAAACTAAAAGAATAACCCTGTGGTCTTACAGAAGAACCTTCTGGCTTCTCAAGGTCGACTTGTATTAACATTAGCTCATGTTCCCATTAAAGCAGTCAGTGTTTACTGTAAGCTAACACAGGCTAACGCAAACCTATTACGTGTCAACATTGACCAGGTTTTCTGCCAAGAGGATGGCTCCAAGTGTCTGTGTGTTTAGTTTCCTGCTGCACAATCTGTCCCTGTAAACTGCTGACAGTCCATCACAAGTATGACTTAATATGACATCAAGCTCATTTAAGCTTAAGTCAGTAGTGATAGGCTGCGCTCGTGTTCGATAAAAAGCAGTGATTGGACTTTTATTGTTGACATAGTATCCCAATTATAGAAACAGAAAAGCTCCTTTGTAGGCCACATAACGACAGGGATTTGCATATAACTCTTCATGTTGTATATTTCTATTCCATATCGAACATGGCATGGAAAATTAAGGTCATAGTGGTGAAAAAAGTGCTTTCTTTTTTTATGGCCATGGTGGCATTGTTGGCAGGGCCGGGGCCTCTCTCAGTTTTTTGTCCTGTTACATCCACTATATAAAGTAATGAAGGTTAACCAGGTTAATTGGTTATAATCTCAATAGGCTGTAGGTTTGAAATGTCCCTTTTACTTTGGTAGTTTTTCCTACAGTGTCTGCCTGACATGTCCTTGGGCCTAAGCATTATAATATCTTTTTTTTTTTTTTTTTACAGTATATTTAAAACTAAGCCAGTTAAAACATCCATAGACCAAAGTGACCCCTCCTGTAGAAACTCACTCCCTGAATCCCACAAAATGAAAAACTCATGTATTTTCCCAAACGTATCTTCTCCTCAGATGTAAACCTTCTAATTCACTTGTTGCAATGGAAAGAATAGGAAGCTCTAACTTCCTTCTAACAGCCAAATCTTCAAGGTTTTTCCATTGTGTAACCGTCGGTATAAATAGAAGTTTTAAATCAATAGCAGGATCTGAGGTTGTTGAGCAGCGCTGCGTATCTGCTCCTCCATCTAAGGAATGCGCGGCTTCTCCGTAACTGACGTGTGGGAGGAGAAGGAAGGAGAGGAATTAGTTGGAACTGTAAATCACTTCTCTTTTATTCTCCCCCGGTGTTATCTTAACATCATCTGATTTCAACATCCTAAATCAAAATAAGAAAGTGAGGCGCTGTCAAGCCGCTCGTTCATTGTGACCTAAGCGCGCTAAGCCAGTCTCATGTGACTCCCAAATCAATGTTACTGCAACCATGTGCCAGACATCTTCTTTTCGCTGGCGGTGTGAATTGTCTCTAAATTTGCTCGATGTTTTCCTCACAGGAGATGTCATCTTTGTGTGGCACCAGCAACGGCTGCCAAGATGGAGGTCAAGAGGCCGCGGAGAAACAGGCAAGCCTCACATGACAGAAACACGAGAACAGTTCAATGAAAAGATGCTAGTATAAACACACCTGAATGCGACAGCTGCTGCCAAAGTGAGCAATATTTTATGGGGTTTTAAGAAGCCTTTTATTTCTTGTTATGCCTCCATAACGTTTAGAAATAATTTCAAGTTTCCATTCTAATGTTACTGTTCTGATAAAGAGTGAATTCAAACACAGTGCACACAAATATATGACATCATATGACTTTATGGTATTCTATATGTGATCTGATTGTCAACAAATCTCATAAAAAGTCTGAAATAAAAAGTCTGATAGTCATTACAAACACTTGATTGCCTCAAGAGTTCCTAATTCAAACACAACTTGTTAACTGGTCCCAAATTTCCCACAGACTATAGGGCCTGAATAACTCAAAAAAGGAAGAATTGGTGTTTTAAGGACTATGAATGATTTCAGCAGTAATAGAGGTTTTGTGCTCTTGTGAGTATTGGATGGGTCAAAACCTTAGACTGTTATATTAATGGCCTGAGTGACATCACCCATCTGTTACTGCAGGGGGGCTCTGGAGGCTCATTGGCGGCAGCCGCCATGCTGGAAATGGTGTCTCAACCTATCATTAGGTTGTCTGAAAGTTAGGCTGAGAGCTGGAGCTGAGGCGGGTTTTAAGCCTTATGAAAAACCGTTCCATCGCACCCACCTGTCAATCATGTCAGCTACGCTACTTACTATGGATAACATATATCATTCACAAAATCAAAACAGAGCCTTTTAAAAAAATAGATATCTACCCTGTTAAGAGCGTGCCTATGATGATAATAACTAATCACACCTATTTGTTTGTTTTTGTACCAGGCTGTAAACATGTTAATTTATGCTGTAAAAACGGCTTTTTTGAATGAGTGTGTATTTGACTTGCGGGGCTCTTGGAGCCAGCCTCAAGCGAACACTTAAAGAACTGCAGGACTTTGCACTTAGTGGCTTAATTTTTCCACACTTGAGGTTGCTGCTTGGTCTAAACAAACAGCGGTGTGTGTTCATGGTAAACAAGAAACTAAATGTCCCTCAGGTGGTTTGAGAGTACAATGAGCGAATTTGCACAGAGAAATAGGTTTTGATCTTTTCATGGGGTTTGTTGACATCATGAAACAAAGACAATATCTGAAGTGGGTTTCTTTAACTCACAACTTGTCCTCGACTGTGGTGGAAAATGTCTGCATGAGTTACATTGAAGGCAGTCTGCCATTTTAATAACAGTGACACTGCAGGAGTGGGGAAATCAGCAGCATTAAAAGCGCACTACTTAGCAGCTAAGGATGTGCTCGAAGTGCTTTTTATACTCTGATGTATTTAAAGCATGTTGAGCTATGATAACTTGTGTAACAGTTTTGTGTTTGCCACAGGAGAAGGAGCATCCTCGTGTACTCATCCCCGAGTTATGCCGACTCTTCTACCAGCTGGGATGGGTGACGGGGACGGGCGGAGGGATCAGTCTTAAACGAGGGTATGTACTGTACTGTATGTATATATCTAATATGTAGGTATGTATAATAATGTTTAGGATCAACAAAAACTCAATCCCTTAACTGTGAATATATCTGTCCCAGCTTAAAGGCTCATTGGACCCCTTTCATCTAACTTTTTCTGAAGAATATATTCACTCCAAATACTGAATGCTGTTGTGGAACTTTTTAAGCCGATCTTTTTTGCAGTGAGGCTGATGTGAGGTCACTTCTATCAATTTTGACAATGTGTGCAAATCTGTGGTGATGACAGAAGGCCAGAGATTTTCCATAATGAAACTGAATTCAAACTGAAGGCTTTGACAGGTTATTACAAACATCTTTGAACTTTGTTGTTGCGGATGACGGCTTCAAAGGAGGCACCACCCCATTAGCAGATCCGCGTTAGAAACGGGGAATGGCAGACATTTATTTAAGTCGGCAGGGGGGGGGAAGAAGAAGATAAAAATCAAAGTTAATGGCTTCCACCAAGTTCGCTGGAATATCATTCAAGGAAATCTTGCTCCAAATAAATTTAGGGGAGAATTTCTTTTCATCTTGTACAATTATACCTTCAGAGTCCGATAGAAAATAAGCAGTTCTCGAGCCCAGCAGAGTATTTCTCCTTAGAATTTTTTTAAACAGAACGGTAACTATTTTCTAGTGTATGAATTATAAGGGCCAACAAACACAGACGATTTTTATATTGAAGTTGAAATACTGAGAAAAAGGTCTTAATCGGAAATAGATTCTGAATCGAACCGTGACGCAAAGAATCAAAATCGAATCAAATCATGAGACACCCAAAGATTCCCAGGCCTACTGTGCACATTATTTCCACCAAAGCTTTAGAGATAGAGCTGTCATTGAGGTCAGAGCTATGTGGCTGCCTTCTTACACTATCCTGATCCCTGATGACACCTATAATTACATGGTAATGATGTGCCAAAAGGCTTAAGTACATCTTATTTGTGAAACCTTTACTTAAGTAGGCTATGGACAGAATATGGCCAACATAATGTTCTTATTCTTAAACATAACTAGTCACATGTACTGGTATTGTGGCTGTTGGTACAGTATTTTTTTTTTAAAAGTACACCAGTTTGTGAGCTCATGAACCATGAAGCTGTGTTTCTATTAATACAAAGCCTCTACAATGATGTGTTTACTCCTGCTAAAAGAAAGCTGATGAGAAATTGTAATACATGAAGTAATCAGAATAGACAAAAGCTTTTTCAGATATTTGAGGGAAAAAAATCCAACGAGTGTATTTTTATTTTCTGAGTGTAGGTCTGAATTCAAACTTTTGAAGCCTTTTTTTCTATTCGACTCCGAAATGACTCAGAGCCCGAGGCGGCCTCACCAAACCCTCCACAAAAAAAAATCAATAGGCTACTTCTTTATACTCCTCTTTATGCTGTTTTTACTGCAAGATAAAGAAGAGTAGCACGGCTCTATTCACTACTTTCTATGGGGGCTGTTAAAGCTCTCAACATTTAGGTAAAAGATATGACCATTGCAAAGCTTCCGAGTAGATCATAGGGGGCTTTGTTAAAAATGAAAACTAGGTTTTGTTTTTTTTACAAGATATATTTTTGGCAATTTTTAGACTTTTTTTTGGATAGGACAGCTGAAAAGAGACAGGAAATGTTTGGAGGAGAGAGTGGGAGGGTGACATGCAGCAAAAGGTCCAAGGTCAGATTCCAACCCAGGGTCACTGTGGACTGTAGCCTCTGTACATGGGGCGTGTGACTTAACCGCTAGGCTATCTGGAGCCACTGTCAGGCTTTTTATTTTTTGTCAAGGCTGCAGAATGTAACATTTTAATAGGTCTTAATAGATCTTTAAGAGGTTTCATGCTGGTGCTCAAGGGCAACATCTACTGGATCAAAAAGTCACACATTCTTCCTTTAAGATGTTTTGTAGACGCAGTTAAATAGTTTAAACTCACTAAATAATATGAATATTTTCTTGTAAGTGAAGACAAAAAATGAAAAAACACATTTCAGCATTTTATTGCCATGAAACGTCATTACTTTTTAAAATAACTGTTGGGATTGCTTTAACAAGACCTGGACCTCTGTTGTTGTGCTTCATATTAATTCATACCATGTTGTATGCCTCACAGAGATCAAATCTACATCGCACCATCAGGCGTCCAAAAAGAGAGAATCCAGGTGAGCTTGTTTTACCCACAGAGTGAAATGTTGCTCTGTTGAGATCACTTCTGATTGAGCAGAACGTTCCTGGCTATGTTTTAAATCACACCGCTGTAATGTTTGTGTTTCGAAGCCAGAAGATATGTTTGTGTGTGACGTGGAGGAGAAGGACATCAGCTGTCCTCCTGCCTGGAAGAACTTCAAGAAGAGCCAGTGCACACCGCTTTTTATGAACGCCTATACCATGAGAGGTGAGTCACTCCAATGCACTTGTGCACTGTGACGTTGTTTCCTCCTTCTAGATCCTTGCTTGTGTTGTACTTACTCTCTGATGTACGTCGCTTTGGATGAAAGCGTCAGCTAAGTGAAGTCCTTTACTAAATGACTTCCATGTTGACTCTCAAGTTGTTGAAATATTGATTCTCGTTAAATATGAATAAGATAAATGTGTTAAAAAGAAGAAGACAAGGTTCAGATCATGAGATACTTTTGATTCACTATGATTAAGGTCAAGATCATATGTAAAGACATCACTCTCATCTCTTAAACCAGGAGAAGGTTTGTTTAGTTTGTCTCCTTTAATGGTGTAGAAACCTTTTCACCTAGAACCCGTTAATAATAAAATAAATCAAATATGTTACACTTTAATTTATTTCTTTTAAATAACCAATTGAGAAAAACATGTTAAGTCGCCAGCACTCAAACAAAACTGCCTTTTCTTTACTAAACTACAGGAGCACAGGCAGTTATACACACCCACTCCAAGGCTGCTGTCATGGCAACGCTGCTGTATCCTGGCAAAGAGTTCAGGATAACACACCAGGAGATGATCAAGGGGATCCGTAAGGGCACCTCAGGCACTAACTATCGGTATGTGTAATCAGGCAGCAAGGACTAGTCGAGTCCAAAAAGTCTTCCAAGTATTTTCCTCTCACATTAGAGCGGAGGCTTGTAAAGTTTGTTTATGAATGTATCAGATGTTGAATGGAAAATACGGAGCTCCATCTGAGCAGGGATGATGGTCCTCACGCAGGATCCTGCTTGAGCTCATCTTTATCATCAAACCCTCTTTCACTCTTTAACAGAGCTTCAGTAGCAGGATTCAGAGTTTGAAGGCCAAGCCCTAAAAGTTGACCTGAACTTTTTTTCCAAGCATTTTAAATAATGTAGCCTAATAAAAATAGTGAGAAGCAGCCACTGTAGGAGGCACGGCCTTGTGGTTAAGTACTACTTTTATTAGTAAAAGTACTAATCTTTATTTATAAAGCTTTTTTTTAATTGCAAAAAAACAAAGAAGTACCACTATTATTATTTTTTGTGAAACCAAAAGGAATCTTTTCAAATGTGTGTATTATGTAAAACAAATAACAGGGCTGTTTTGATGATGGCAAAAATCATAATCACAATTCTTTTTCTTCTTAAGGTTTATTTTTGGGCTTTTTATGCCTTTTTATTTAGAGATAGGACGGTGGTTGGAGTCAGAAATCAGGCAAAGAGAGAGAGGGGAATGACATGCAGGAAAGGAGCCACAGGTTGGATTTAAACCTGGGCCGCCCACTTGAAGGACTACAGCCTCTATACATGGGGACTAAAAGTTAGGCCCTTATTCAAACCAACCCCTACACCCTCCCCCTCCGTGACAGAGTGCACTCCATTAGAAGTCACACTCGCAGCTGAATTAAGTCCTCTTCATCAAGGTGTAGGGTAGAAATACAGCGGCAGGCTTTGGGAAAAACTTCCCTCTCTCAGGTGGAAACGGGAACTGTGTGTTACCATGGTTTCTCAGTTGCATCTTGTGGGAACGGCTTTTTTTTGTAGGTAATGCATTCTGTAAAAATATTTATGTAGCCTAGATTATTCTTCTTATTCTTCTTTAGTAAGTTATATTAGTGCAGACTTATAACAAAACTATTAGATTGAGCCTACATTGTTTATTGTAATTTATAATTGAAGTTAATTTATTGTAATTTTTAGATCAGGGTGTCCTAAATTAATGCAAATACAAGGAGACTATTGTTGAACATCAGAGCAGCAAAAAGTGTATTTTTTTTGTTGTTGAATTGAGATTTCACAAAGACATCAAAAGTAGAAAAATAAGAAATAAATATTAACAGCGAAAAGTTGTGTGCAACATGATTTAATATTCTTTTGTTTTTGCAACAGTCCCTGTAAATATAAAACACTTCACAATAAATAAACATGTATTTTATCCTCAATACAATAAACATTTTAAGTTGTTAACGTCTGTATGACGATATTAAATGTCTATCTTAGTTGGAGCAGTGTTTGAAACTCACAGGTTGCTTCATCCGTGACGACCGGACACAATAGGCGTTAAACGTGATCTGAAAGTCGGCATCGGTGCAGACTCGCTGGTGGAGGGTTTTATAACCCACTACCACTCCCCGCTAATTGGTTTGGGACGGACTTAATATGGCGGACCCTCCGCGAGGACGCGCAAACGGAGGGGTAGTGGGTCGGGAGAGTGTGTAGTGGCTGGTTTGAAAAAGACCCTTAGGCTGAGTCAGCATTTCAAACATGGCGACTGCTGCCGATGAGCCTCCAGAGCCCCCTGCAGAAACAGATGGGTGACGTCACTCAGGCTTTAATTAATATTTACAGAATATGGTGACAAGAAACACTTTTAGAGACACATTTACCACATGTGACAAAACCTACGGACAAAACAAGCGTTATACGGCATGCAGAACAGTTTTGTTAAATTCTGATTATTTTGTTTCCCTGGTCGTTGGAAGACAAAATTATAATTTAAACTAAAAAGCGATTTCGCGGCTCTAAAAAAAAATTACTTTTGTGTGTTTTTTTCTTTTTACTACTTTGGGTGTGTTTGGCTCTTTTCTCAGAACTGTCTCCTCTTTCATGCCACATCAGTTTTTTAAAATAAAAGTTTATGCTCAGTGATAAGACTTAAGTCAACACTTTAAGTGAATAATGTTTTTTGTATTTTTGCCATGTATTTGTATGTGTGGCTCATTTACCCAGGAGGTCAGTCTCCCAAACCATACAGTCCTGTATCCAGTGCAGCCATCTAAATTACCTGTAGATCCATAGGTCAAGAAACAGTTCTGGCAGTAGTTCACAAATCAGTCTGACTATAACATATATATGAATATAATAGTAACAGGATGACTCATTACTTTCATTAAGGCTTAGAAAAGGCGAACCTTGAATACCAAATCAACCACACAAAGAGGATGATGTCATCACTTTTTAGTTAATGTTGCTACGATCTCTTTGTACTGAAATGTGCCCTGTCTTGCCTTCATTTTCTCAATAATCCTGATGCAAATCACAGGCTGCAACATGTGTGTGGCTTCTACAGAACTGTTCTGTCCAACACAGGCTCCATGACAATTTTTCTGTTTCAGCAATTCGCATTCAAATATCGTTTATGAATTATACTTCAGTTTTATTCAGGCACATAGTCAAATAATGCTTTTAGTGATTCTGAATTGCCTCGTTTCATTTAAGGGTTCCACTTGACAAGTTGGCATTAATTGAAAAGCCTGATGGGAATAACATTTAACAGTTCAAAGACACAACAATGTACGAGTTCTAGATTGGAGAAGCAGAAAAAACAAGAAAACAATGCCAGAGGGTTCAATGATCCTCTCTGGTTAGAGCTAAGGAACAGGGCCGTCGAGAGTGAAATAGCAGCAAAATGATTACTTGAATGATATTATTTTGATCATAATTCAGGTGGAACACGGCAGGGAAATGTAAAGGTTGGTGATGACTTTAAGTTGCCTGAATTATTTTAAAAAAAAACAAAGTTACTTCACTTCAATGTCATTGACTGGAAGAAGAAAGAAAACAAAGAATCAAGAATTTGGAATCAGGAAATGGGCTATATTTTGGGGCTATAATACTCCCTCCATGTTCAGTATAGTGTTCAACAGTGAGGTTCCTGAAGTAAAAATCGCATTCATTTTCTCATAGCAGATTTGCCATAAAGTCATAACTCTCCACGGGTAGACTTACGAGCTACCTGTTGGAGTGAAACAGTGGTATACAGTATGCTCCTGTAGGAGACACAAGTTTGTATGATATCAATCTCATTTTAAGGAAACATGGTTTATTCCTCAATATTGGGGAAAAGAACTACACTACCCGCAACCATAGAGTGTCACAGCGACGTTTCTGATTGGTAGTGCTCGCTATAACCATGGCAATATTTCCCACCCCTCGGCAGTGAACGCGAACGGATAGTTTCACTCGCAGGCTAGCTAATTATATAGCTAAGACAGGGTGTACTAATAACCTTGTTATTCAGCAGTGAATGTGTTTATATATTCATCCAACACAAACTACAACATCGTTAAACACTTGTATTAACTGTATAAACACTATAACAACAATAATTGTCACATTTAGGAAGAAGCCATATCATTCACAAAGGATTGTGGGATGGGTATTTCCTTGACTGCGGGCGAAAATGATGTAGAAAGTGTCGTAACTTTGCCTCAGTTTTTCAATGTCGCTTTGGCTCCGAATAAAATGTACTATTGTCACGAGTATAGTGGTAGCTGATTGTCTTGGTTATAGGTTTAAATCTCTTGATATAAAGATTTTGTGAAATGTAAACGGAGGATTTCAATGGGAAAATATACTTCCTGAACCAGAGCTGCCAAAAAAAGTGGGCGAAAGTTGAGCTCTGTTGTGCCTGATTAACTGCCAATCAGGTAAGACTGCACAGTGGACGGCTGTGTCGAGCTTTGAGAACAGGCAAGTCTCCATCTGACAGCAATCTGATGTCAAAAGTTAAAGCCTCCAAAGGTAATAAGTATACATTTCATTTTGAGTTTCTTCCTTGACTGTACACAGGTATGATGACACTCTGGTTGTGCCCATTATTGAAAACACACCAGAGGAGAAGGACCTTAAAGACCGGATGGCTTTGGCAATGGAGGAATACCCAGACTCATGTGCTGTCCTTGTCCGCCGTCACGGTGTCTACGTCTGGGGAGAGACGTGGGAAAAAGCCAAGACCATGTAAGCGTCAACCTCTTCTACCTCAGACTTCTCTGTGACTTAGAATATACAACTGTTTTTTTTAATTTACAACCTATTTAACAAACATAAGGTTAATACTTCTGCTATAAGGCTAACAATCCTGTTGCATTTTGTAGGTGTGAATGCTACGACTACCTGTTTGACATCTCCGTCCAGATGAAGCAGTGTGGACTGGACCCCTCAGCCCTTCCAACGGAAGAAAAGGGAATAGTCTGACATTCACTGGTGCTTTTTGAAAGAGACATTTGTTGCAGAAAGGTCAGTGGAGTTCAGTCGGGGGGGGCTGATTGTAATCATTTGCCTTTCACGCCGGTCTGCTTCAAATTCAATGAAATGTGATGGTAAGGGCAGATTCGGGGTTGAAGGAGATTGAATGCCTGTGATCCGGAAGCACCTGGAGGTACGCTGCAAAGCACTGTGGGACAACTCATGAGTGAGTGGCAGTCAAGTAAAAGGTCTTCGGGTTCAAACGCCTTCCTATTCAAGTTTGACTGCAGGAATCAAGGTCTCTGTGTATGTCAGACATGAGCATACTGTGCATCTCAATTGAACCTGTAATTGTGATAAACTGCCTTTGCTTCAATCATTAAAGTTGATGAAATGTAGATTGTGCATTATAGAACCTATTTTTCTCTACGCCGAACAAAAAAAAAAGTGTTTGTTCTCAGATTTTTTTCTGTAAAGTTCTTCATACGTACTGGAGTATTAAGTATTTTCAATGTCAGACTTTGGCCCAGCACCCCAAACCAAATATTGTTTGTATTATATATCCAATATTCATTCCATTATGCATCTTTATTAATATGTATTACCTGTCAGCCTGAAAGTTCAGCAGCAGACACATTATGAATGAAATATGAAGACAAAGAAGACTCCAAGGCTCAGGTGAGGGGGGGTTTGGGGATGGCGGGAGTTTGAGCAATGTGTTGTACGAGCTGTGCACGGACATTTTTCTCCCCAATATGGCTGAGTGAAAGAAAAAAGAATACTGATCAGTCTACTTTTTATACCTCAGTAATAATGAGTTTCCTTGGGTTTAATATTATGTCCTTTGTCAAGGGCTTAGCACAAAATTCAGTGTCCCTCCGTACTTGTACGGCTATTCATTATCACATCTTTATCCAAAACAGTCCCTGATCCTAAACTCAAGACCTTCGAGAAGTTTAGTTAGGGCAGGCTTATCCAACCTTGGGGTCACATGGAAATCAAATGTGTTTGCCTTAAATGTTGCATTTATTGATCAATAAGACATCTTGTATATTAAAATATATTTAACACAAGCTCCTGTGGGCCGTAGCCAGTGTCAAAACAAGAAACTTGTGGAGTCTCTGTCTGTCTGTCATCTCAGCCTTTCTTCATCCGTCCACAATAATATACAGGAAAATACTTTAATGAGGTCTACAATGAATGTTTACTGGAACACAGTCGAAAAACTATAACATGATTGAATACGAATTAATTTCAGCAGAAAGCTCTACGTGTTCTGGACGTCTTGTGTCGCCAGAGTTGTGTGAAGTCAAAGTGGGGTCACGAGCCAAAAAAGAGTTGGGATCCATTGAGTTAAAGCAGAGTCTATCTCACATTGGGGCCTGTGTTCCCACACCAAGTAACCAAGTTTCTATTTTAAATTAAAAAAAAGATATATTTAAATGAAACGAGGATTAAATACAAATGTCTTTGTATAAAAATATCTTAACAAGTATCAAACATTTTGGGCTCTAATAACCAGTGGTCAACCACTGATTTCCAACTCTATCCACTGTCCTATCTCTCGAATAAAGGCACAAAAAGCCAAAAAATAATCTTTAAAAAAAAAGTATATGTTTTACTATTACATCTCCAGATAGATAGTTACACAGCATACAGTATATGGTCATATTTGCTGCATACACAACTAAAGGCAGGAATGGAGTACACTGCCAGCAAACATGCATGGATGATACCAATGCATGAGGTGAAGTATTAAAGAAAAAAAACTTTGCAGCTAACTCAAGTAAGTAGCATTGCTTATCTTCTAGTAGCAAAATGCAGTTTGGTGGTTACTTCTCAGTGTAAACTAAGTTTGTGTATGTGTGTGGGGGGGGGACTTATTCCCTCGAGTTTCTTTTGTTTCAATCTTTAGTTAACAAGAACTACTACCGACTGACTACTACAAAAAGGACAGCCTGCTTAGGCTACATAATTAAGTCTACAGCAGGGCTAAACAGGTACAGAAAGAGCGTTTTGTTTTGTCAGAAAGCACAACAGAAAGCGCCATCTACTGACCAGGAAAGGCACATGTCATTTAATCTTAAATGAATGCAACAAGTTACAGAAACGCTTGTCCTCCCCTGAAGGTTACATAGCTAACAGATGACTTATACAAGGTTTAGCACAAGTTAACACCAGTAAAAGACTCATATTCCTCTCAAAGCATACTTGAATCAAGATGGCATAAAAGTGCAAAATAAAACTGTCTCTTGGTACTTTTTCTCCTTCTACACTTCTATCTGTAGTGACTGCCCGGCCACACTCCAATCCCCTGTTGTAATCTCTTGTTCTGGCAAACCCTTAACTCGCTGTACGACAGGTGCTCTGAGACAACTTGTCTTCATCATTTTTGCTCCCTATTTGCGTTTCGGTTTGAACTCCCTGAAAAAAGCTTATTTCCATTTGTTTGTTCTTAAAACTTAAAATGCACAGCATGTCGCCCCGGAAAGACACAAAATCACATCGCTGTTTTTGATCCTCTTCTCCTTCATCACGACAGTATTAGCAGTCCCTTTTGGAACACATAATCAGCGTCTGCGCAGGGCATCTCATTACAACCATTGCCCAAAAAACTTATTTTCCGCAGCCTTTTCAATCACTTGAAGGATGTTGAACAGTTCAAGAGCTGTAGTGGCGCCGCTCGACCCATAAATTACATTCAAGTTGTATTAACGTGTTTGGCACCCATGTCTCTGGAGAAAAAGGAACACTCATTGCTGCGCCATATTTTTTATGATATTGATTAAAGTGTAAATGTGTTTATGATTTTGAGCTTCAGTAAAAGCCCTATGACAGGCCAAATGGTGATATTTATTAATGTTATTGACGCTCAGACCCCAGTCATCTGAGTGTGTGTGTGTGTGTGTCAGCTGCTCTGCTATCACACTCAAATCCACACAAGGAAAAAAAAAACTAACATCTGAAGCTCACTCGTGTGTTCTCAGTCGACCTTTAAAAAAAACAAACTTTTACATTTTGACATTCTTATAGCACTCCTGTATTACATTCTGTTCTTTTTTGGCATTTGCCTTCATTAGGTAGTTTCTAACACAAGCGTGACAGGAATAGGAAAACGAGAGGAGCCTGCATGATTTAAGTGGTGGATTGGAAACCAGAACATGGCAGTCAGATGGTACTGCATGTCCTCAGCCCGCACAGTCACAGGGATACATTACATTGAAATAATGGTTCTACTTGCCCTAAAGGAATTAAGGATGTTTTGTACTTTGATCCTCACCAGGGAGAATGTTATTTATTTTAATGACGATAAATGATTGGCGTAAAAAGACTCGCTATATAAGGCCATTCATTGTACCCACCTGTTTGTGATTATTAACAGACTGCACATGAGTCAGCAACATCTGTGTCATTGACCAACATGCATGCATTTATTTTTTTTACAGCAAACTATTTTGCAGAACAGCCAAAAGCCACACATCCAACAGAATAGTGGGATTATCACTGGGACCATTAAATATCCATACAAGGAAGAATTTCCTTTACGGTCAGTTGTATTCAAATTCAAAGCCTGTTGGAAATGCAGACGTGCAGCACACTGAAACTGCTTTCAGCTGTAGTAATAGTAGTAATGTTACCTTTAGCCTCACTGGTTTAATCACTTTAATCCCCCATATAAAGCCCCAAACAATAGGTTTCCATCAGCATGCTCTGACAAGACAAGTGTTCACTACTTCAATGGATGAAAACACGAAACAGACCACTTCAGTGACTAAGAAAGGAGAATGACTCACTGAAGCAAGAAGGACAGGACCCACTGGACATCAATGAGTTGCCTACTGAATGTACTTCCATGTTAACTAAATCTCTTAGACGATAATTTGTTTGCACGTTAACCATGAAAATAAGTTCATGACATATTAACTAAAATATGATTCTGAGTTTGTTTTGAAGTCATTCTGCCCCCTACTGGTCAAAAGCAATACGATATAAAAATGGATTTAGAAGAAGTGGACACAGAGGCCACAAGGTGAACTATGAAAAAGAGCCTGGAAAGTGATTTTCGTTCCACAACCTTGCCACTACTTAAATTCATGTCTTGCATAGACAATACCCTTAGTAGGTTCTCTGCAGAATATCCTGCAGTTTTTTGGTCACGATCCGTAAATGTGGATTTAAAAAGAAACAAAATCTTATGCCGATGGTCATATCCATTAGTATACTTGTTTGTGAATTTAGACCATGAAATGTGGCATATTAGTAGAAAATAACTAATGGTTAGTGTTTACTACGTCAACATTTTCAGTAGACACAGTGTAACCAGACGAAGAAGAGAAAAAGCACACTTCAGACCAAAATCTCTTAAAATATCATTATCATTATATCAAAATCTGAATTAATATCATTTGTTTTGTTTAATAGTATCTTAAGGTTTAAAAAGGTGGTACTGTGACAACCCTGTTAGGTGGGAGTACCTGAATGAATAAGTCACTACCTTGTGACCTGTAAGGATGGAAGCTTTACAGTCTAATTCACCCTTTTAGTCCAGAAATATTTGGATCAATATCCCCAAGATTTGACTGCAAAATGACAACATCTAATCGACAAGCTGTATTCCATAAATGGAAGTTACAATGGCTATGTCCACTGTATATGCAGACTATTTTGAAGGGGAGTTAACTGCTGTTCAGGAATTCAGGTTTGACAGTTAAGAAACAAATTGCTGCAGTGACTCAGACATGGGAGGGGACAAAGAAATCTAGGTCAAACATTGTTTGAGTGAATCACTTGATTGTCAGTTGTCCAGGAAGTATTGTGAAATTCTCAGAACATCCTGCCTTTAACTGAAACGAGAAGAAAATGATTTGGAGGATTAGACGAGAAGACATCCATTGCACTACCCCATTACTAATGATGAAAGATTAAACATATTAATTCAGATTCCTGTTTGCATGTTAAACTGTAGCTGCAGTGTACCCTTGGTGAATGTATATCCATAAATCAATCTTTACGGATGAGCATGTGTGATTAGATAGACTAAAGATCACCAAACATTGACAAGTGCAACATTAATTTTAATTCATTTAACATAGTGCAGACACAGAGAGAACACATTAGTGATCTGAGTAACTAAGGCAGACTGCGTCTCAGCCACCAGGTTTACTTACCAAACCAAATGAAGAGAATTCTTGTGCAAAGAGCTGCTGGGTCAGGTTAAAGACTCTCTATCAGGTTAAATTGACCTAGCTCCAAGGCACATTATCTAACTAGATTGCTGGCTAAATTAGCTTAGCAAGTCATATAAATCAAGCCAATTGGCTGTAGCTAATGTGAGCTGTAGTGATACAAACAAAAAGGGTTCCTGCCACAGTCTGTGCAGCCACAGGTTTCTGAATAA